AAAAAAAAAATACAAAGGTAGGATTCAACCCATCATTCATGCATTTCTTTATTAAACACACATGTGCCAGGCACTGTTCTCAGCTCTGAGAATAAAGTCTACAGAAGAGATCAACCACCTTCTTCGTTCTGATGTCACATTGCTGAGCCATTGGTCAAGGGCATAAGCTCAGCAGACCATAATTTCATAGGGGCCTTCATGAACAAATCACCTTTTCTTACCTGCTCTTATCTAAGTTTATTGCTAGCTACCAACTCATTCCTTTTTGACTCTGTTTTATTTAGATGCATGCTGCCAATTCCCAAACTTTGGACTTTTTTCCACTTCTAATTATACAGTAGAACCTCTGTAAATTGACTAAGGGACTGTACCAAACTGGTCACTATAAGGAGGTGGTCAACATAAGGCCTCCTGTACCCATATGTACGTGTGGTACACATCCAGTCTATGAAAATTAGGTCAACTTAAGGAGGTGGTCAATGCAGGAAGGTAGTCAGCTATGGAAGTGCTAACTATATTTTCTTTCTCTGCTATGATTCTCTCCATTCATTTGTTATACATGCATGCAGACTGTTGAAGCTAATGGCCATTTTGGCCCAGTTTTATTTCAGAGTAGATATGTCAATGTCGTAGAATCAAAAGCAAGAGATACCATCTAATCTACTGCCCTCACTTTACACATTATTCCCCCCTGAGAACTGCCACCTCTACCTTCCCTATGTCTCTTTCACTTAAGCTCATGACCTTCTCAGACCTCTGTCCACCTCATCCATTTCCTACAGTGACCTGTAACATGTGTTTCCTGCTAGACCCACAGTTATAAACAACTCCTGGTAGAGTCAGGAGCAACCCAGAGAGGAACCGGAAATGCTCTCTCTAATAACTCCTGAAAGCAAGAATCCCGCCCTAAGGCTTGGTAGTGGACACACCCTGTAAATGCTGGATTAAGCCACAGACCCAGAATCCCTCTACTGGGCTCTGGGAGTCATTGCATTTTACTTTAGGAGGAATTAAACTCACGTTGAATCATTAAGATCATCCAAGAACGTCAGCAGATAGGAATCAAACATTCTTACTCTGCAAAAGACAGATCTGGCCCTAGAATTAGAATCGTGGAGATGGAAATAATCAAGACCATCAAAATCCCATCTTGTTTTTATTCAGACAAAGAAATTGGGATCCAGAGAGAGGATGTCTTACAGGTCCAGGAGAAACAATAAACCAGGGCTTCTTACTTCAAGCCTATTTTTTCTCTTGTCTTTTAGGGCTAATTGTTCAATTTATACCAGCCCCTGTCCCTTAGCTAGTATTCCAGTCCTAGGGGCTCCAGGCAACAAACCATGATGGAAAGTATATCCTAGAAACAAAGTCAGACAAACAAATGCCATCTGGGTGCTTAGGAATCTAGCCATGTGCTGGCTCCTTTCCTTTTAGGGCCGGTTACAAGAGGAATGGCTCCAGAGGGATAATATGTCCCTATTTTTCCTTCTAATCCAGGACACCTGTCCCTTGTTTGGGGAATGTATAATATCTGGGGCTTCTTCTCAACATGTGACTAGCCACCTGTTGTTCATGCCTTTCCAAATTGGTTTTTGGGTTCGAGGCTAGCCAACTGGACCCCCACCCACAATAAAATATGTGCATTAGCCATATACTAAATTTGAAGAGTCCATAGTCTCTGGGGAATTAGAAGGTCAAGACAGAGCTCTCATCAGAATATACACTATGACACCTCCTCCCCTTAATGTGATAGCTCTGATAGACTGTCATAAGTCTTTGAAGAGAAAGGAAGGCTGGAGTTCACCACATGCCGTCATTTTCTTTCATCCCCACTCCATTCATTCAACAAATATGTATTGACCACCTGCTATGTGTCACTCACTGCCACTCGTCCACTCATCTACTCACCCCACAAACATGTACAGAGCTCCGCTAGGAACAAAGTCCCATACTGGATGCTGTGGGAGAAATAGCAATGAAAAAAGCTCAGTCTTTGCCCAGAAGGAGCTCTTAATTTAGTTGGGATGATAATTCCATAAGCTACTGTGATTTAAGACCATATTTGTGGAGAGAGATACAAAGAACCATGAATCACAGAGAGAGAAGTCACCCCCTGCTAGCAGGTAAGAAAGGTTGCAAGAGGATGTCATGGACCTTGAGGAATGGGTAGGATTTGGACACACAAAAAAGGGTGTGGTGAAAAAGTTGGTGCCTCAGCAGAGAGGTGCCAGAGAGAGCTGGGAAAGCCAAGCCAGTCCGTCTGGCTGACATATAGGGTACATGGTTTACCCTGGGAGTCAATCAGGGTGGGGGATGGGGAGAGACTCTGATGCTGGTGAATTTGAAAGGTCTGAACTTTTGCTATTTTCCTGGCCCTTTAGGTTCTGAGGTATGGCACCCCATCTGCAAGCAGGCAGCCCGGGCAGAGAAGAAGTTGAAGGTAAGCAAGCTAGTAGCGAACCCAGACCGGCACTCCTACGTGGCTACTTTTCGCCACAAGTCGGGGCAGGGGCTGTGCTGTAGTACTGAGTCAGCATTCCTTGGTGTGCACACTCCCAAGTATGTATCCTTGGATTTCCTTTGTGTTAACACCTGCCTCATGGGAGTTTTGAGATTATGACATTGAATCTGGAAGCACTTTGAAAACTGTAAAGCCCTGTATTTGAGCAAATTTTTAAGTGTTTCTGGGGCAAGGCTATAATGGGGGCTTCACCATTGCTGACCAAGGTGGTGGCCTCTCTGAGGAACTCATGCTGTGGTCCTTCCCCAGCCTATGGTCATTCATCATTAATAATAGTTAATACTGTCATAGTAATTGATGGTTTACAAAGCATCTTCACTGCCACTATTTGATTTGATTTCTTTAATCCTGTGAGGTAAATATGCAAGGAATTTTGCCTTTGCTTTGCCTATGAGAGGGGTGATTTGCCCAGAGTAACACAGCCAGGCAGAAGCTAGCCTCCCCAGGCACACAGTGGACCAGCTGAGGTCCTCCCTGTATCCCTCTGAGTTACTGTGCTCTGACAAATACCAGGAAGGCTGTAAATCTGGATTCCTGATATTTCAGAGAGGGGGTAGAGCTGTCCAGGCTGCAGGGAGAGGGCTCCTGAGTCCTTGACGCTGTAGGAAGATACCTGGAGTGTGCGTCAGGTGACAAGGAGAGGCATTTGATTTCTCCAAGGTACTTTTATACCCTGCTCCTTAGAACTTCCAAGTTGGTCCCTTGGAACGCTATTATGTTACCTCCTACAGTCTCTCCAGCTGAAACCACAAGTGCACAACTTCTGACGCTAATTAAACAGGTCTCCTTTACTACCTCATCCACTTAATGTAAGTTTTATGGAAGAGCTGACTAGTTGATATGTCATTATTTTTGAGCCCTGAATTGTTTTCCCATTTTATCCAAGTCCTCTTCCATGACAGGTATAAGAAAACCAATTTCTTTTTCTTCAATTTCCTCCTCTTCTGGTGGCATTTCTGAGACTTCAGTCATTCATGCTTATTGCCATAGCTGTGCACTGCCTGTTTCATTATATACTTAATGTTTTTCTTTAAATCAACTCCCTACTTTTAACTTAACGAAACCTATTTTTAAATAAAACTTTTTATCACCGAGTGGAAATCAGTAATACTTTCTATAAATGGAAAGGAAACCATGAAATAAATTCAATGATAATGAAATAATCTTATGTAATAATTCTTATAAATAAATCTTTACAAATCTAGCTAAACAATGTTGCCTGCACGCTCTCTGCTTTAAAAGAGAAATTGCTGAGAGGGGTTGTTGGAATGCATTACCCCCCCCCAAATTAAAACTGGCTCCTTGATCTAATCAAGATGACTGAAATAAAATGTCGTATTTTATTTTCTCTGCCACTCAATATTGTTGAATGTTCCACCTGAATTCATCTTCTCAGACCCAGGAATAGTTTGGGAAACACTACTCTGTAGCCTCACTTAGAATGCTTTGTAATGGGTGAAACTCTGAGAAGGAATTGGCAGTCTTAAAGCTCAGCTTCTGGATTATAGTGATAAGGAAGCTTTGATCCCTAAAACTGTATATTTCAACCATGGCCCTTGATTCCCAGTGCCTTTACTTTTAACCACAACATGCTACCACTCTCCTATATGCACTAAGATCGATGTTATGCCGCTCTGCTAAGGGGGCTCCATTGTACAGAGACAGGTTTTTTAAGTTTATCACTTCAGTTTATGTCAACTTACAATGACAGTATAAAGAATCAGTATATTGTGCAATGACATGAAATGTAACCTACTTTTACATTTTGAGTAACCAAACTAGCAAGAAATGAGCACTAAACAACTTTATTTATTTAAAATAAATACATTATTGACTGGAATAATCCAAGGTAAAAAATTTTATGTGTCACTTCCTATTTAAAATGCTAGCTGCAAGTATATAGAGAAAATAAATTCATATTCTGTCCAACAGCCTGAAGCCTGTGCAGTCTGAATCTCATTCACACTCAGATACTCAGTTCAAAGGCGGAAAATAAAGAGAAAGTACAGAAGTAGCCAGAGAATCCTTGGACAGTATTGCTAATATTCCTAGAAGAGCTGCATTCTTAGACCCTGTTTCTCCCTCCCCTCCACCCCAGGATGCAGCTTTTCACTCCTGTCTTTGTCTCTCCCACAGCATAGAAGAACATCTGAAACTTCCATCTCACCGCCTGGGTCTAGCATTGGGTCACCCAACAGAGTTATCTGCGTATGTATCACGTTTCAGCCATTGAAGGGTATCCCTGAACTGGTATCTAAAGAGTTTCTAAGGATAAAAAAGTTTTCAGGTTTTCTTTCTCTTTTTTTCACAGTATTTATTTTATTTATTTACTTATTTCTTTATTTTGGAGACAGTCTCACTCTGTCACTCTGGGTAGAGTGCCACGGTGTGATAGCTCACAGCAACCTCAAACTCTTGGGCTCAAGTGATCCTCTTGCCTCAGCCTCCCAAGCAGCTGGGATTTCAGGTGCTTGCCACAACACCCAGCTAGTTTTTCTGTTTTTAGTAGAGATAGAGTCTGCTCTTGTTCAGGCTGGTAGGTTTTCATTCAGCTAATATTTGATGTGTGCCTGTCATGTGCTAGGCTCTGTCCCAGGTCCTGAGGATACAGCAGGAGTAGGTACAGGCAGGACATAGATCCTGCCTTCATGGAGCACACACTCTAGAAAACCCAGAATTCCAGAGGTAACATCGAGTTCCATGGAGCACAAGGCAGAAAGTACAATGGCAGCAGGAGCTCTTGCTGAGTCTGTAAACAGTGCAAGGTCCCTCTTTTCCCTTTACTTGACTGGGACAAGAGCAAGATAGTAACTGGGCATCAGTTATTCAGAATAGGTAGTATTCAGAATAGATTTGGGGTGGAATATTGATATGGAGGTAATGGTGTGTGATAAAGAGGCAGAAGGAAGAAGGAAGCCGTGTGATGTGCAAATATGGTCATAAAAGATTTGCAAGGTAAAGAAGAGCTTTCTAATCACATGAGAAGTCCAGGAATGAGAGACCCCCTGCATGTATCAGAGCTCCCATCTCCAGAGGCATTCAAACACAATCACCATCTTCCAGGGATGTGGCAGAAGGGACAAGAGTTGAGTTAGATGACCTCAGAGGTCCTTGTGTATATAATTTATTCTTTTGTTCAACAAATGTGTGCTGAGTGTCTACGCTGTGCTAAGCATTGTACTCTGCTCTGGGGACATGGTGGTGAACTCCACAGACCCGATGCCTATCTGCATGATGTTGAACACATCATGCCATGAATAATCAGGGCAGGGATAAGTGCCAGGAAGAAAAAGCACAGCATTCTCTGATGATGCCGCATACGTGCAGAGGGACGGATTTGGAGAAGGCATCTCTGAGAAAGAAACATTTACTCCCAAACCAGAGGGATAAACAGAAACAAGCTAAAGGAGGTAGGGGAGGCACAGCCGGGGAGGACCGGCGTGAGCAGCAAACCTCAATCAGAATGACACTGGACTGTCCCGTTTTCCACAAGTCAAAGGAACCAAGACCAGCAATTGGAGGAAATGGTCTACAGCAGAAAACTCACTCCTAATAAGAAGCTCTAGATACAGTCCCTAAGCCAGCCCGCCCTGGGTGGGCCCTGACCCTCATCACTAGGCCATCACTCCAAATCCACATCCAGCTTCCTCTTTGATCCCTGGATAATGCCCATTGATGGGACTATTTCCTTTTCTTTCTTCCTCTGATCAAATTTAAAAAGACTTAACAGATATCATTAACTGCAGCTTCAATATGGGTCAATACTACAACGTGGCTGTCACAAAAGACAAGCTACTTTGATCACGGTTTGTACTCAATGAAGAATCCAATCCAAGACAAGAGGACAGTCCTTCAGCACTATGAACAGCACCAGACCGCAGCAATTTCAGGGCCTGCACTGTGAGAAGGTTGTTGACAAACGCGAGCTCCAGAGGAGCGTTAACAGGATATGCGTGCCCAGGAAGGTGGCTGCGCTATAATGCTGCCAATCACTAGCCAGTCTGCCTGGGCTTCTGAGGAGCCTTGTTAACCTTTCTGAAATATTAGGCCTCAGTGGTACTCACCTTGGAATCCTCTGTGAGAAGCAGCCCCCTTGCAGAACAAAGCATATGGTAGCACCTGGGGACCCCTGTGCCCATACCAGCCCACTGGGAGTTCATACACTAAGATCAGTTGTTCCTCATGTCCTGACTTAGCCACGTACCTCTCCTTCGCCCTCTCTTCTTCTTCTTTTTTCTTTTTCTCTGTCACCTGGGTAGAGTGCCATGGCATCATGGCCAACAGCAGCCTCAAACTCATGGACTCAAGCAATCCCCCAGCCTCAGCCTTCCAAGTAGCTGAGACTAGAGGCTTCTGCCACAATGCCAGGCTAGTTTTTCTATTTTTAGTAGAGATGGGGTCTTGCTCTTGCTCAGGCTGGTCTTGAACTCCTGAGCTCAAGTAATCCATCTGTCTCAGCCTCCCAGAGTGCTAGGATTACAGGCATGAGCCATTGTGCCCAGCCCCCTTCACCCTCTCTTCATATCACCCTTGACAGTGCCTCATGCTCAGCTGCTCTGGGCAATCGCACATGTCACATTAGCCATGTTTTAAGTCTGACTATCCCAAACATGGCTTCCAAATTTGGCAAAAAATCCATCCATCCACTTTGGAGACATGCAATAACAAGATACTTTTTGTAGATTTGGTTTCAAAAGAGAATTATCCGTGAATTGGAGCTGGCAGTCTTTCAAACTTCATACCCCATTGATGTCTAGAATCATCTTCAGGTGGTTTGATTTTGTCCGGACACACATGTGGCAGATCCATCACTATGTCTCCAGACCTGAGGCTCATTTACAGCCCTGGGAATGAAGTGGCCCTGAGAAGAAATATAGTACTTTTGCATTTTGGAGTAAAGTGCCAAGATGAATAAGTTGAGTTTGTAAGATGCCAAGAGCTCTCAAGGTCAACATCTAAGATCCCAGGGGAAAAGGCAGCAGTTCCTTTAGCAAGTGGACTCCCCTAATAAGGTTCCCTGAGGCCACACACCACAGGATTGGTTCGGGGCTGTGCCAGGCAGGCTCTCGCAGAAGTCCAATGACATGCCTCAAAGAGTTCAGCTGAGAAGGATATCATGAAGGGATCATGCACAGAGGTGTGGGCAGGGTTAAGGGGACCCTGCAGGAGTCAGTGAGGTATCCAGAGACTACAGTAGCATGACATTGTTGCCACCCTGTGCTTAAATAGACAAAAGATAGGAACAGCTTTCACAAAGCTTGTGAGAGCTGGAGGATCAGACAGGAGCCAGGTCCACCCATGGCCATATAGGAAGGTTGCAAGGGGAATAAGTGTGCAGCCTCCCTCTACTCTCTGCTGCTGGCCAAACCCAGCTGAAAGCCAGGGAGTTAGAGAACCTGAGGTGCAGCCCAGGGGACACTCGGGGCAGATCCAGGCAAGGCAAGGTGGACTGAGGGTCTGGGGGTAATGGAGGATGAGCAGCATGGGATGGGACAGGGTGGCAGAGTAAAAGGCCCTTGGAAAGTTTTTAAAGTAGCAAAGTTTATAAGGATTTTATGAATGCTGCTCTCCCTAAAGTAATCCTGGCCCCAAGATTTCACCTGGCTCCTATGACATTGGAAGAACATTATGAGGCTAACACAGTCTCCTTGGATTCTCCATCTAGTAGCCTCTGTCTTAATTTACAGTCACCCCAGGACCTTGCAAGACAGATCCTGGTTAACCATAAAAGAAACCAGGTCACAGAGGGAACAGCTGGTCGACATGGCCATGGGAAGGACATGGCTTCAGGAGTTAGGAGATGTGGGCTATCACATGCAAGGGAAAGCTGTCTTTTAATCCCTGCATCTTTGGAGGGCTGAACTCAAGACAAAGTCAAGTCAATTGGAAGATAGAGGCTCATTTCAGTTTGATATAAGGAAAAGTCTGAGTACAGACTTCTGACAGTGTAAAACTTCTCTCCTGAAAAGCCAGGGGAGACTACTGGAGAGGGAAGTCTCTCTGGGTTCAAATTCAGGTTTTTGCTACTTATTAGCTATGTGGCCCTGGGAAAGTTAATTGATTTCTCTGTGCCTCTGTTTCCTTTTTCAAAATGAGGGTGATGCTAATGCTACCCTAACGATCCTAGCACTGGTTGTGAGTTGTGTGGATTAACGGAGTTAATCCATGTAAGGGACTTGGGACCGAGCCTGGTTTATAATGAGCACTCACCGAATGTTAGCTGGGGTTACAGTATCATGAGGATTTTTGTCTTCAGCATCTTCGTCTCCTTCCTCAAGGCTGCTATGAATTGGGGGGTGTGGTGGCGATCAGCACTCAGCTGTCAGGCTAGATTCAAGCCTACTAACGAAGTGGTTCGTGTTGCCAAACCTTTTGAGCCCCAGTTTCCTTGTCTGGAAATAGAAATTATATTGACACTTACTTCACAGAGGTGTTATGACATTTAAAGAAGATAATTCCTATAAAGCACAGGCCTTTAGTAGTGATAACTGCTCGGAAATGGACTAAGTCCTGTTGGAGTGGGTGGCCTCTGAGACCATTCTTCTTCTAAGCTTCTATAGTTTCTTGATTTGATTCTATGTATTGCTTTCAGTGGAACCTGGAGAAGCTCTTTCTTTGTTTTTGTTTCCTTTTCCTTTTCCCTCTTATCTTTCTACTCCTTTCCTGTCCATTTCCTCCTTCCCCAGGCCAAAGTGGATAATGAGATCCTTAATTACAAAGACCTGGCAGCTCTCCCCAAGGTTAAGTCCATCTACGAGGTACAACGCCCCGACCTCATTTCCTACGAGCCTCATTCCAGATACACGTCCGACGAGATGCTGGAGAGATGTGGCTATGGAGAGGTATCATGTCTGGCCCTTCTCTCTTGGGCTGTTGTTGAAGATGTCTTCTGGGGTCCCCAGCCCTCTCCATCACAGGTCGTGTGGCCTCCACTGCACTAGACCTTAGACACTTCTAAACTGGAATTTATAGCAATCATTTTAAACTCGAGAAATTTCATCCAAAAATCTGGCTTCTGGCTTTTCTTGAAAAATCAGAGCTGTCAACATTAAATCTCTATTTCTAACACCTGGAAATGGTAGCAGCGCACCTTGTAGGCAGGACATGAGCCCCATCCATTCTCCTCAGTCACTACCAGTCCCTGTTAACCCCAGCAGTGAGGACAAGAGCTGTGGTCACTTATTCTTTTTTCTTTTAGTGGAGAAATTTTTCTTCTACTCAGCCCATGACTCTCATCTCCTGCCAGGCTCAATGGCCATTTAGGTTTATAATCCCTGATTAGGCATGTTCTCCGGTTTTTGCACCTGGCCTTGAGCCACAGTGCTCACAAAAAAGACACTTTTGTAAAGACTCAGCATAGATGGTTTTTGAAATCATTAAATGGTGCTTAACAACAGAAAGTTTTCTTTGGAGAGGGCGGAGCAGCCATTACACTAGCCGTTCTGGCAGTCTATATCCCAGGAGATTTCTAACTCCATACCTGACCACCTTGGCTAATTTAGAACATAAGGATCTAAATCCTTATGTTCTGGTGGGCAGGGACCCAGGTTATCGTCCCAGCTCCACCATAGCTAGTCTTGGGACCTCAGGCAAGTCCCCTTCCTCTCTAAGGGATTGGGGTGCTATTTGGTTAAAGGCCTAATGCTGAGATTATCTGGGCTCTGGCCCCGGAAATGGACCGGAAAAGGGGATCATGTGTTTGGTAGATGCTGATTCTCCTGAAGTTAGAAATGACAAACAAGGGCCACAGCCAGACCCCAGATTTGATGTTTCAGTTACAAAGAGTCTTTTTAAAATAGTAACTGGTTGTCAACATGGAAACATTGGGAGACTTTACATAAGAATCTGCATTTCTGACTTGTGTTGTTAAACTCAGAAATGGTGTTACCGCAGCCCCTCCAGCATAGCCCGGGGCCCTGAGCAGCTGCTGCCCTCTGCAGTTGCGACATGGCATCTCCAGCTGCACCAGAGACCAGCCCAGCTCTCACTGATGGCAGCGTCCTGGCCCTATTTAAGTTTCTGTCCTCAACATTTCTGTCCTCATGAATCACAGAGGAGTCATGAACCAGTAGAGAAGGAAGAGTGGTGAAAATAGCTCTCAGTGCACCATGGAGAAGCCCAGAGTCTGAGTCAATACCTGCCACTTCGTCCCCATGAGGCTCAGAGTGGTCCTGAGCCTTCACATTTCTTTTCTGGGCCTTGGTTTTTCCATTCATACAAGGAGGGCATAATCTCAAGATTCCCTGCCTCCTATCAGCAGTTCTGACCTTCTGGAGAGGGATCCCTAGGGGAGGCTGTGGCTCTCTCACTGCTGAACTATGTAACAATATTCTGTCCCTTCCTCTCACCCTCTCTCTCCTTTCGCTCCTTCCACGACTGCCTTCAAACTCTTCACTTCTAAGTCGCTGGGAACGTTATCTCCCTACTCCCAGGTAATTAAATAGAATTAAGTTGATATATAATTGTGTCACTTTGTGCTGACCAAGAAGACCCCAGACTTCACCCCTCCCCAGGGGTGAAGCACGGGAAGGCTGAGCCCTTGGCCACTGTGAACTTCCTAACCAGACAGTGACGGAGGGGCTTAAGGGTATACCCTCCAGGGAGCAGCAGTGGAATAAAAGAGGGGAGAACCCAATGGCCTCAGGATTCTGGGGCTCCTGGTCAGGACTCCAGGGACTGACCTATGGGTTCCATTCAAGGGACAGCTAGTGATGGGGAAGCTTGGGATATTCTCTGCCCTCTCCTTGGGCTGTGTGTGACTTAGGGAGGGAGTCTCTGCATTCATATCTCAGCCCCCGAATCCCAGATTCCATGTCATACACCCACTTGCCCACCAGACCCTTGGGCCACAGCGCCCACCTAAACATGGCCTTGCTCACAGCACACTTCCTCCCCCAGGACATCTATGAGAATCTGGACCTCCGCCAGAGACGGGCCTCCAGCCCAGGGTACATCGACTCCCCTACCTACAGCCGGCAGGGCATGTCCCCCACCTTCTCCCGCTCACCACACCACTACTACCGCTCTGGTAAGGACGGGGACACCCCAGATGCAAAGGAAGAGCTCGGGGGCAACACAGTGACTTGGTGTCCCTGGGCTGCAGAGCCTGCATGAGGTTTCCCCAGGGTCTCCGCTATATGTGGCCCTCCTGAGGCTCTCTGAGTCTCTGAAATGTCCCTGGCAGGGGTAGAGAGAGGGTATGTGGCACTCAGATGCAGCAGGTGAGTGGTGAGCTGCCAGGAAAGCAGGTGACGGACAGCCCTGTGACCCTGGCAGGGAGAAAACACCTCCACCTATTTCTTGAGGCCTGGCCTTCCCTGAGGAGCCAGGCAATGCCCAGTCGTCCTGAGGTAGGGGGTGGCAGCAGGCTCTGGATGGAGGAAAGGAGCCCTGAAGGGAGGACCCGGGTGGGGTCCACTGGGGAGCTTAGAGGAATGAAAACCCCTTCTTAAGCTCGGTAGAGTTGTTTCTTACCACCCACAAAATCTGACTTGGGAGTCCAGCCAGGAGGCAAGGTCAAGCTTGTTTCTGCAGACGCAGTGCATGACAGCCAATGCTGCTTCCGACCCGGAGCCTGAGCACGCCGGAACGCCCCAGCCACCCCACCCCTGCTGTCATCACCTCACCGCTTCCTTAAATGCCACGCGTTAATGCCTGTTTTCTCTGTGCCTCTGTTCTCTCTGGGGACCACTGCCTGCGTGCCCCAGGGGCCGAGAGTGGCCGGAGCTCTCCATACCATAGCCAGTTAGATGTGAGGTCCTCCACTCCGACCTCTTACCAGGCTCCCAAGCACTTTCATATCCCAGGTAGGCACTGCCAGCCCAGAATTCCCAGCACGGGTGCATGCTCCATGGGGTCCCCAGTACCTCAACAGCCGATGCAGTGCTACACAGGCACCTAGGAAAAGCCAGTTCCTGGGGACCCTCTCTATCCAGTCACCCACTCTAATTCCATCCACCAGCTGCGACACCGACATGCATGTTGGTCAACACACTTGACAGGACCAGCATGGGTAGCAGCCCAGGGAAGAAAAGTGCAGGGAGCTACTGTGGGATCCCTTGAATGTGCAAAGGCCTGAGGGCACGGCATTAATGCACAGTGGGTAGGGCCACCAGCTTAGCATTAAAGCCCTGAGGGTAGAATCCCAATGCTGCTGTTCATAAGCTTTTGACCTTGAACCACTTGCTTCCCCAAGCCTGGGCTGTTCTGCTGAACAGCCAGGTACTGTTGTGGGCCCAGAGGGTGCAGCTGTGCTCAACCCAGCCCAGACCTTGCCCTCACAGTACTTGGTATTTATATTCTAATGCAGTAGAGAGATAATAAATGAGTAAACAAATAAGTAAAGGATAATTTCAGGTTATAACAGATTATCTAAACATAAATAAAAGATGGCACCATGAAAGATGACAAGGGCAGGGCAGGCCAGGCTTCTTGAAGGTAACATTAAAGCTGAAAGATGAGAAGGAGCCAGGCTGCCAAGATCCCAGGGAAATTCATCCAGGCAGACGGAACAGCAAGTGTAAAGCCATTGCAGCGGGAGGGAGTGCTAGCAGAAGAGAGGGACACAGGCAGCAGACAGACCACTGGCAGGTGTGGTATAGACAAGGTCTGAGTCACAGCAGAACCAGGCCTGGTCTCCTAACTCCTAGCTCAGATTCTCATTACCCACTCACTTTCCCTGCAAGAGCTCATCCTGCTGTGTCATCTACACCTTTCTCAACTGGCCCAGAGGGGCTCCCCCCTGCCTGCTTTTGAGGGAAGTTGGGAGGGATATTATGCTGACTTGACTGCAGGTCCTGGGCACTCCCACCTGGAGTGAGTAGGACCCCTCCCCTCCACCAGGGGTGGAGGCACTGGACCCCTCCCTGCATGGGTTCTGCTGAGCATGCACCACCTGTTCCTGCATGCCCACCGTACAAGCCCCAACCCTCCTCAGCACTGTCTGAATCCATCTATTCCTCTCCCCACACCTTACTTGGACCCTGTTGGGATGAGGTTGGAAGTTCAACTTTGGAAGAAAAAGTCCACCAGGGAAAGATGGTGGCCTCTTGGAAAGAGTTGCTGACCATCTCTTTCTCCTGAGATTGACTGACCAAGTACTGTCTTCTTTTCTCCTGTCTCTCTATCTCTCCCTCCCTCCCTTCCGTCCCTCTCTGGTCTGTCTGGCAGCTGGAGACAGTAACATCTACCGGAAACCCCCGATCTACAAACGGCATGGTATGGTCAGAGACAGATAGGGCTTGGCCAGACAAGGAGAGGGGGGACATTAACCATTAACCAGGCCACCAGGAGCCACATAACACATACCACAAGACCACATCTTGGTCCTTCTTGGTGGCTGCCCCTCATCTGTCAGGGTGACACAGGGGAGGAGGTTGGTGTCATTTCAAAAGAGCAAAGGCCTCATGTCCCCTCAGTTCTTACCCGGCACTTCCCCAATCCCCCCTTACCTAGCACCTCCCTAATCCCTCCTTACCTGTTGTCTTAAATTCCGTGATCAGAGAAATCCTTGTAAAACACACCTACCCCTAGGAGCATCACACTCTAAGGCACTGATACTCAAAAATGCTCATTAGAACATGGGATGCATACCAGTTCCTGGTCCCTTACCCCGGACTTGCTGTATTAGAATTTTGTGTATGTAACAGTTTTTCCAGGTGAGTCTGATGCCCAGCCCAGCTGTGACCCACTGCTCTAAGCAGTCTGCTAACAATGTATGGGGACTTGGAGGGGAGATGCACATGAGAAAGGAGCAGGGATTCACTTCATTCTTTCATTCAGTGTTTCTTGAAGAAACACGTTGGTGGTCCATGGACCGTATATACCTGAGAGACTTATTAAAAAGGCAGATGCCCCAGCCCCACCCCTGGCACTAGCCCAGAGTCCCTTAGTTAGAAAGACTGAGTATGAGGCTGTGTGCAGTGACTCATACCTATAATCCTAGCACTCTGGGAGGCCAAGGCAGGTGGATCGATTGTGCTCAGGAGTTCAAGACCAGCCTGAGCAAGCGTAAGACCCCCATCTCTAAAATTAGCCGGCACTGTGGTGGGCACCTGTAGTCCCAGCTACTTGGGAGTCTGAGGCAAGAGGATTGCTGGAGCCCAAGAGTTTGAGGTTGCTGTGAGTTATGATGCCACAGCACACTACCCATGGAAACAGAGTGGTACTCTGTCAAGAAAGAAAGAAGGAAGGAGAGAGAGAGAGAAGAAAGAAAGAGAGAAAGAAGGAAGGAGAGAGAGAAGAAAGAAAGAAAGAAAGGAAAGAACGAGAGAATCTGCACTATAACTGGCTTTGTCTCTGGTTTCGGCCTGCACTGCACTCAGTATAAGATCCACTGACTTCTCCTCACCAACACCTGTTCTTTTTTGCAAAAAGCACTTACTAAGCCTCAGTGGAATAAGGACATTCCCTCCTCCAGGGTGCGGCGGAGCAGCCGCCTCCCTGTGCACCTCCCTTGCTTACGGCACTAGCCGGGCGAGGGGGCAGTAAGAGTATGAACAGTGACTATGGGTGCTTAAGACCCTACAATTCTGACAGGCATCCTGGGTTTCAGAGGGGCCTGAGCAGGTCCAAGGTGGATCTGTGAGCATGTGCACATGTGCACGGAGCTGGGGAGGACCTGCTACACACAGGCCTCCGAGTGGCCATGTAAGGGCACCAACCCTGACGAAGGTAGTCTGGCTTTATATCCAGAAAAAGCCCCAAGTCCCAAGCTTCTCGGGATTTCATGGAATTACCAGGTGGACTCTACGGGGAGTGTAGGGTGGGGGGGATGGCATGGACAAGTAAGCAGATGGATGGAAAGGCTAAATGTGATTGGCCAGATGGGGCTGCCCAGACCCAAGTCAAAGAGGGGAATTCAAAAGCTTTAGAAACAAGCACTGCTGGGGGAGGGTGCATAGCCTGGGCTGACTGAAGGCTGATCCCATGACCCTGCTCTGGCTCCACAGAGCTTGTCCTGAAAGCTTCCCCATTACTGGCTCATTTCCCCAGTCCCTCTCTGCCCAGAATCTCTGTCACCAGACTTTGGGACAATGTAAGTCACTGCATGGTAGCATTTGTGTTTGCAATGAGTCTTTTGGTCACCCTTGTCATAGGCTTCAAGTAAAAACTTGAAGGTAGATGGCACCTGAGCCAGCAGACCAATTTTGACACCTGCAGATGAAGAAACTGAGACAGAGACGGGCAGAATCTGCCCAGTGTTACAACTGAGTTAAGGTCTTGAATAAGCGCCTTCCCCTCTATGGAGTTTAAGCACTCAAATATAAAATGAGGGGGCCAACCAGCTCCAATACCCTGTGACCCGGGTGTGCCTACCAGACCCCTGACCTTGAAGTGGCCCCACTCCCCTGGGCTGAAGCCTGGCAGAGACAGGGAAGGAGTGCACAGTCCCAGCCAAGGCCTTCTGCCTCCCTGAAGCATTCTCCTTGGGTCCTTTGCAGGTGATTTGTCTACAGCAACCAAGAGCAAAACAAGTGAAGACATCAGCCAGGCCTCCAAGTACAGTCCAGCCTACTCACCAGACCCCTACTATGCTGCAGAGTCTGAGTATTGGACCTACCATGGGTCCCCCAAAGGTAGCATCCCCATGGGAGCCTGGGGTCAGAGCTGTCTCCTCTGCCAGGGACATAGAAAGTCAGGACGGGCAGTGACCACTCCTTCACATGACCATTTTGAATGAGAGTATTCAGAGGGTGTATAACTGAGGATTTCTAGTCATTCAACAAACATGTATGGAGGGCCAGCCATGGCCCTAGGGATACAATGGAGCGCAAAATAGACTAGGACCCTGCCCTTGTGAAGGAGATAGAGGTCCCAACCATGAGAGGGAGGTCACGATGGGCATGCTGTCAGCTGGAAAGTGACAAAAGTGCCTCAGGTGCAGCAACTCAGCTGTCACAGAAAGGGAGACCAGAGGTGATTCAGCTGACAGTGTAGAAACACATGTGCAAAGACCAAAGATGTGAGAGTGGGTTCCACTGAAGGACAGGAGGCTGTCAGCTGAGCCTCGAGCTCTGAGAGGGAGGGAAGCAGGTGGGGGAGGGGGAGGAGATCCCATGGGCTTATGGGTTGAGGTAAAGATTTTGGTTGTTATCCTAAACAGGAATATACCGTTGAAAGTAGCGACATGATCACATTTGTGCTTTTAAAAGAATACTTTGGCTATAGGGGGGGAAATGGTTTGGAGGTTGGAGAAAGAGAGGATGTGGGGAGATGGGAGGGTCATGTCAGCTCCCTGGCAAGGGACCTTCATGGTCCTCATGGCACCACCCTCCCCAACTAGACAACTTAAGCCATTCCTTTCAAGTATGGGGAAGGATTTCCATCAAGATTCACTTTGACTGAATGCTCATTTTTACTAACTGAATGTCCATTCTGAGCAAAGCTTCATGCACACTCAGAGATGACTCTTTCATTGCTGTCAAAGAATTCTCCGTTTAGAAAAGCAAGACGCAGACAGAACTATAACCCCGAGTCACCTGTGATCAGTACCCACAGGAGATAGTACCTGATTACAGGCTGCAGTGGCACGGGAGACACTCCCAATAGGAGTGGGGAGTATCTCAGATGGGACTGTTTCAATCACTAAAAAAAATGGAAAAGGAAAAACCAACTTGAAATGTCTTGAGCTGGACAGGTGGAGTGGGGAGCACATGTGGGAGCTGAACCTGTCTGTCCTTTGCAGTGCCCCGAGCCAGGAGGTTCTCGTCCGGAGGAGAAGAGGACGACTTTGACCGCAGCATGCACAAGGTGAGCGGGCCCCGCAGTCAGAAAGAGGCTTAGAGGATAAACCACTGAGGAGTTTTTCATTGGCAAGTGACAGTGGCCAAATTCAAACTCACCTAGGATAGAAAAAAAAAAAAAAAAAA